GTCCTAGGGGGATGGGCTGGAAGGTTATGGGATGAGTGTTGATAGGTGATTTGTTCAGCATGTGCTGGACTGTTCGATCCAGGCCTCCCCTATTAAATCTTGACACAGTTCTAAGTTAAACAAATAAATGCCTTAGCCAATAGTTGTTATGATGCTTGCCTTTATTATTTGATTTGTTTAATTTTGTAGGTTTGCATTTTTGAAAGTTTATTTTACCAGAAGAAAAAAACAATTAAATTTCCAAGAGAAGTCAGAACTTAATGCCCATTGACCTAACCAGCAATCTTAGATCCGTATAGAGACAAAAACCAAAACTTTTTAAAATTCTTAAATATTTCAAAATATAAGTCTCTGACCATCAAGTACATTTTCCGTTTTGGAAAACAGTTTGGCAGTTTCTTAAAGAGTTAAATCTACACTTATCATATGATCTAACCATTTTAGTCTTAGATAGTTAATAAAGTGAAAGTTACTAAATTTAGATATTAGTAAAGTCAAGGTCCATACATAGACTAGTAAATGAATGTTCACTGTTGCTTTATTCGTAGTAGCTCCAAACCGTGGAAAAAAACCAAGTGTCCATGAGCCAATGAATGAATAAGCCAATCATGCTATATAATGGAATACTACTCGGCAATTAAAGGGAATGAGCTATTGACACCAAAAACGATATAGATTAATTTCAAAATAATTGCACTGAGGCAAAGATGCCAGATCCCTCCAAACGCACACAAGAGAGAATACTGTTGTATTCCATTTATACAGTTGTGATTCCATTTATATAAATTCCAGAAAAATGTAAATTAATTTGTAGTGACAGGAAGCAGATCAGTGATTGCCTAAGGATAATGGGGAGGGGAGGCAGGGCAGGGAGGATTGAGAGGGAATGGTTACAAAGGGGCAGGAGGAAATTTTGGGGGTGATGGATATGCTTATTATCTTGATTGTAGTGATGGCTCTCCGGGTATATGAATATGTCAAAACTCATCAAATAGACTTTAAATATCCAGTTTATTGTGTGCCAGTTATGCCTCGATAAAGCTGTAAGAACAATTCTAAATAACAATAACAAAACTTCTAGTATTTTTTTTTATTTCAGAGCTACCTATCAGCAAATGTTATTCTGTTGGCTCTTTTAGTTTTTATTCAGGGGAATCCTAACTTCTACCTTAACTTCTACCAGCATGACTCATGCTAGTCAGACTAAGCATTATCATCTTCACGAAATGAATAATGACAACTAATATGCATTGAAAGCTTTCTGTTGAACAGTGATACTCCAATGCTTTACCTATATTATCTCATTTAATGCCCAGAAAAACTTCCTAGTTCAGACGCTATTATAGCTTCATTTTACAGAAGAAATCAAAGCAAAAGGTTAGGTAATTAGTCCAACACAAAAAACACAAGTGTGGAGAGTCCAGATTCAAAACCATAAGCAGTCCACTCCTGGGCTTCTTATTTATCACTAATAGGACATAACTACAAATTTATTTGACAGAGCCAAGAATTAATGCAGAAACAAGGGCATGTTGCTGTAACCCTGTAGCTGTTTCCCATGCTCTTTGTTTGGCTTCCTGGTCCTCTGTGACACTAATTCTTGTTGCTTTTAATTCCTCATAGCATAGTCTTCCTGCCTGTTTTCTAGCTTTCCTACTGCCTTGCTTGTCTTCCTAGATTCTGAGCTTGCTGACTTTATGGTCCTTAATGCCTGCCTCATAAGGGGAGCTTTGTCTGATAACTTACTCCACTTTAAATAGATGCATCTACTGGATTTTTCAGGTAGAATATATCTGTGGACAAGAAAAGCATGGATCCTGTTCAAAATAAGGATATGTGTCAAAAATCTCCGCAAGTAATTCAGAGTAAAAGGACAGGTAGACAGACGAAATAAGAGGGATCAGGCCAGGAGATTGGTGAGAACTAAGACAAAATCTAGTACAAGAGCAGCAGGTGTTGATATTAACTTTTGCTGTAAAGTCCACAGAGCAAGAGGGCATCGGGGTTCCCCGCCCCTCCCCGCCCCGAGGACTGGGCAGGCGTAACTGGCAGGAAGAGAGAGCAGGGTTAACAGAGCAACCTCTGAAGAGCCCCCAAAACAAGTCCTTCATGAAGCAAACTGTCCACAATACATCTAGAAACTGATGGTCCCTGGGCCACCTTTTCCTGGGTTGACAAGGGTTGCGAGAAGGTCCTAAAAAGTATGGCTTCACAGTATTTTCACAGCTCTGCCAGTCTCTCATATTATTTTGACTTTCTTATTTTCGATCAGTATGAGAAAAAAGAAAGATTACAATAAAAACCACATGGAGGCCTCTTCTCAGGATGAAATCCTTTGCTCTTTTCTCTAAAC